TCACATACATGTACGTGTACATCATCCTACATGTAGAGTGTATGTTTTAGAGCCATGTACATGTAACTCCCTAGGTCTATTTGCAGTATGCAACTTGAATCCTGCAAAATCCTTCCAGTGCACCCATGTAAAACTTGGATGCAGCCTCAGTCCTCTAAAAACCCTAATTTATTTCTTGCATGTGTTCTCTGGAGAGGTGACCGCCGCCTCAATCTTTCAATCTGCTTCAGGCAAATCCTGCCAATATGTTGAGATAGTCATGGTGTGAAAGGTACCGTATCCTAAGCAGTATGGAGCATCTCAAGTGGTGGGCCTTTATTTATGCACAGCTGAGCTTAAAAAAAACGCAAGTCTGGGCCTAAGCCCTGTGCATCCTTCAGAATCAGCCATATGTTTTTCATAAGAAAGCCATATGTTTTTCATAAGATGGTTACATTTAAGCTAAGGTAACTTCCGTGAACACGTAATTTACATAAAGAAAATCAGTGAATAGATCAATAAACAACATACATCATACAGAACACTACAGCTGGTAACTGTTGTTTTTTCCAGGTGAATTTTGTTTGTGGTGAGTAATATCCCAGGCCTGATCTCATCTTCTTAATCTAAAGAACTAGGTCAATGAGCTGCACACACCTCTTTGTACATGTATCTTGAGCATTCAGATGACATCTTCCTGATGTACAATTACACAGATGCACAATATGCTACCGTGATGTACAGCCCGCATTGCAATGATCGATACTTCCGGGCTTGCGCAGGGTTCGATGAGCTCAAATCTTAGTCAGCGCGACCATGAACGGCATGCAAAGAACCCTAACTGTCAAGACACGCAGATGGGCATGAGGAAAATAGACACCCCCACCGTCCACTACCAGGACCACTGCCAGCTTGCATTCGACGAAAATAAGGTGTATCACAGAATAGAAAGTAACACTATAACATCCTTAGTCCTTCCTGTCTTGCATATTTATTTTAGATTTAATACCTCCAGCATTGGTTCGACCAGACAAGCAATTTCAACCTGCCTCAAGACAGGGCTGACGTTTTACCTGTTCCATATGGCCAAACCAGACCACCAATCTTACAGGCACATGTTATTAATTCTACAGGGATTGAATGAATGGCAATTCACTGCTGTGACCTACATTATCCAGCTGAAAACACGAAGTACAATTTCATGTTCATTTCCATCACGATGCCCCTCAAAGATACATGTACATGTACAGAACTCACTGTTAATTATATGAACCGGTACATGCATGTAGGCCTTTACGGCCTACATGCACATGTACTGTATGTTTACACAACTATTTAGGATATTGAAGACAACGTTTGGTCTTGCCTAATTAATGCAAAATGTTGATCCCATAATTGACAAAAACATGAAGGAAACATCAAAATAGTTTCACTTTGTCCATGCTGAACCCAACAAGGTTATGCAGG